CCCACATGTTGCAAAGACTGTTCGAGACTTCTGTTCAGCCCAACACATGCAACTTCTTCCTCGGCCTGCTTATTCACCGTATATGTCGCCTATGGAACACGTGTAAGATTTGGTTGGTCGGCGTCTCGTTCGTAATCCGCGTCCTGCAGCTTCAAAATACGAATTTTTGCTGCGAATACAAGCAATATTGAATTATCTTCCACAAGCAGACATTCAAAATCTATTTGACTCCATGCCACGTCGTATAGCAACACTTATTGCAGCGCGTGGTGGCTGCACCAAATACTGATTTCGGACACTAAATATTGTTTTTTTTTTCCTTGAAAATTTCGTCATTTATGTGTACTAATACAATTCATTTATGCATTAAATTTCATTTAATTCTGATGATCCCTTCATGATGTTTCATTTTTTACAAACAGCAGTTTATATATATATAGTATCTGTTTATTTAGATGTTTAAATTAATCACAATTCTCTCTCTTTCTGTAAAGCAAAAATTTTAGAAATATTACAATCCTAGAATACAAAATCCCATTTCAAAATATCAATGGCGAATATAGAAAATAATAAAATACCAATGTTTTAAAATAAAATTAAAAATTGGTAAGATAATATATATATATATTGCATTTTAGTTAACATTTATAAGAGTTACATAATCACTAGTTTATTTTTTTTTATTGGTGTGTGTTTTTATTATTTATTTGTTTCTATTTTTTTTTTAAATTTATCTGATTGGTTTACTTATCTTTGTTAATTGGTTGTTTTATAATTAACCAATACACCTACTACAAAAATCTAAAAAACCACATACTATTGTTTTTATTTATTTAGTTAAGAGTGGCAGTATTTTTAGTCACGTAGTATTTCCCCATATCTCTGACATGTTAAACACAACCAAGTTTAAGGAATATTTTTTTAAAAAATTGAATGCTATTGCATTTACCTTTTCTTGTATGCATTTATTGTATTATTGTTATTATTATGTTGATCAAAGAGTATTTTATAAAATTTTTAATAGTTTTCAACACCCTTAATATTTTTAACATCAATTCATACTGCAATTAATTCAAATACATTTTATTTTCCAAATAATTCTATGAGTAATTCAAATCAAATAAAAATTCAATAAAAAATCAAACAATGAATTAATTCAATGAATTTCAAACAATGAATATCATTTCAATTTGATTTAACATTCATTCCCAAAAGCAATTAATTATTCTCACGATATGTTCCGTTACACATAACGCTTGTACTTGACATATTTCTGTAAGCAAAACGTGACCAAATTACAGTTCTAGAATCACATGTAACTTCCGCGGTAGATTTGAGTGACTTTCAATGTTATATAGTGATCAGTTATATTTTCACAAACAATTAAATGTAATTTTGAGATCAGGTTCAAATTTTTAGATAAAAAAAATGACTACGACCATTCTTTGAATTTAGTATGAAGGATTTTTCAGCGGATGCTAAAAATAGAGAATGTATTCCTATGTCGTTTTCTATTTTAAAAGTTATTTCGCTAAGAAAACAATTGTTTCACATATTGTATGCAAGAAATAAACGTTCGTACCTGTATTTTGGGAAAAGGATAAAATTGGAAAACAAAATTACTTTAATTCTCAGAAATTTCCCGTAAGTGTTTTTTTATTTGGATACTGTTTACGGATTTCACATTTCTGCGGTTACATTTATCAAGTTGCTGCTTTGTATTGAAGTTATACCGAATTTCTTAAAGTTAATTTTTAATCTTATTCTTCATTCTACATCATAGATCCGGGAGGAAAAATACTCTTCTAGATTTTCAGTGTATAATTTTTTTTTGGTAAAAGACTTTAACTATATAGTTGTTCTGTGATGAAATAATATTTACACATAAAATACTTATTACTTTTAATAACTCTTGAGGATTCTGAAATGTAAAATTATAAGTATGACTCATTCCAAAATACAAGCCTAACACACACTACTTTACTCCTTATTCAAATCTACATTAGATATAAAGAAAAATTAGAATGTTTTTAATATACTACACTTTTCGATTTATTAATTTAAAACCTTTTTTCATAGTTTTTATAATTATGTTTGATACTGTTATTTCTTCTTGATCTTATACAAAGGTTTTTATTATCAGATAGAAAGACCTTTGAAATGTACTGACTGCAATGTTCATTTTATTTACATAATCATTTTATAACTCTTCGTTAATGTTTTCACTACACAGAGTATTACCTCATTCTCATTTCCAGTTTTCATATATTTTTTGTTAATTCATACTGAGAGTTGTCTGTTTACAAACAATTATCAATCATGTTTATAATCTCATGAACTGTTTGCAAACAAAGATCTGAAATCAAAATCATTTGAAATAACAGTCCTTACTAGACATCTGCTGTACTTGAAATCAGTGGTCTGAAAGGGATATTTTAGACAGATGAGAAATCCGATAATTATACTTTTTTTTCGAAAAATTGTACTCTATTTTTACTTATTTATTTAATTAATTGCATTTTTTTATTTTACAAGTTATTTGCATAGTTATTGCTAACCAGGAAAATAAATCTTTAGATTTTATTGAAATTTTAAAGCACATTCTACGCTTGAATTCATATTTAAAAAATTAGTTGTTGTGAAATATTTGTATCAAGTTAAAAGCCCATCTGATATTAAATTAGCAGTTAATTGATGTAAAAATGATCGATCCCAAATCATGTCAGTGTAAATGATCCGAGTAAAAATAAAAGTAAGACAGCTCCTCTAGCATAACATTATTTCAAAATCGTGTATAAAAAAAAATAATAAAAAAGAGAGAGTTTTGTGATCTCTGAATACGTGGATTCACTGTAATGTGCTTTCTCAACGAATGCTAATGATATTTTTCTAACGGAAAGTAAGCAATAGAAATACACTTCAGTTGCATTAAAAGTCAGTATTGTCAGTAACTTCTAACCCTATACCTACCGACGGTACTTACAAGTACCACTCACTTTAAAATTACATAGAATAACCATTTTTACGAATATTCTGACGATATTTAGCAGGAATATTCTTTGAAATCTACTCTTCCGAGATATATGATAGCACGGGTTCTATGGTGAGTATTTTAGCGGGGAAGGTGAATAGTTTCATAGTAGATATTACGTTTTCAGCTAACAGCGAACATTATCATTTTCGTCCCAAAAAAATAGTTAATGTCAAAATTTAAGTGTCTTATTTTTTTTGTATGTTAATGAAGACCTTAGAAAAGGATTTGACTATTTATTTTAAGTGAAGAGTGTATATAATTAATTTTACAGTTGAATATCTTTAATTAATTAATTAGTTCTAACGGATTAAATTTCCCAAAGTTGAGTATTTTGTTTATGTATATCCCTTAATTTTCAATGTAGTCATCCAAAAAATAATATTGCATAAAAAAAAACTGCAGTAAACCATAATGCGGTAGATAAAGGGTTAAAAAAGGTTTGATACTTAGAACATATAATTAATACTTCATTTAATACTTTTCCATACCTATATAAAAAATAACAGTATAATACAGAAAATAAAGGGAAAAAAATCCTTATTTTAAACAGCTCATAATTATTTCCTTTACTGATTTCCATTTAAAAGCTCTTTCTTTGTAAAACGAATAACCTGCGTAAATAGAGGGATTACAGTAAAAATATTGAGAGAAGGGAGCATTTTTCATCCAAAAAAAAATATGTGTACACGTAAGGTCTTTTGATTTATAATCGAGTACCATTCCAAAAGAGGTAATAGTCACAACAGTCGAGTGGTCAGGGTCACGAACTAGTGTCTGGTGTTGTAGGTTCAAGTCCCGGTGCCGCTGAAGACTTCGTATAGAGGGGCTAATACACACTCACGCTAAATGTGTCCAGGCTTAGATTTTCTAAGATGGTGTGATGTGAAAGTTTGGAAAGCAGGACTCTCCAATTTATATGTCGTTCTTATCACCTAGCTGAGACTCGAAATTACGAGATACACGTCGCCAGGAACCCTTACACAGTTTCAATAATACTATTTGTAAGTCGAACTTATGTTTTTCAATATCATTTTCATTTAAACGGGTTATAATAAAATTGTACATAAGATACAAAAATGCAATACTGAACATGAATTTTTCATTTCCTACAATTAGGTCACTCTCTCCTTATATAATATATAACATATCTTGTTAAAATTTTCAATCGTTAATAAAATACTTTTTATTGATCCATTCAAGTTCACAGATATATTTTATTAAATTTGTACTGGATGACACTTGCTGTTAAAAAAAAATACAGTTTTTTCAAATATTAATTCATTAATTAAATTAAAAAATGAGTAAGTAGTAACAAGCAAAAATAATAGCCCAACAGCATAGATAGATTGAATATTAACGTCGCACTGTTCAGCTACACGAGGGCTTTGGACAACGGACCACGTAATTTTGAACCTTGGTTAAGTGACGTGGACGACACCTGAGCTGGCACCCCTCTCTCCTAACTACCACACCATCGGGAGGGCGTTTGTGATGAATATGAATCGCCCCCTACACGGAGGGTCTTCAGCTGTACTAGGCTCGAACTCATGACACGCAGGACATGAGTCCGTTTCCTTGACAACTAGGCTACCGCGGCCACTTCATGCAATTCGAAAATCACTTCCGTGCATGTTCAAATGTAATAGCCTTCATCGCGTATGTTCGAAAATAATATAGTATTGTTCATAATTTATAAGCTCTTCTGCATTTTTCTTCTCTTATTTTGCTAAAGATTTACGTGTAGGACCCACAGAAACGAACTCTGTGGAGTTATTCAAAAATTACGGTCTGGTACATATGTTTAGCTGGTTTCAGCTCTCGACAGATTTAACGTGCATCGCTGCCCTACTCGGCGGGTCTTTAGTGGTACTGGGCTCGAACTCGTGACAAGGCAAGCCACGATCCGATACCTATACCACTCGGCTACTGCGGCCACAGCATATATAGAAAGAAAATCGTTCGTTGTGGCCCTGTAGCGCAATGGAAAGCGCGTTGGACTTCTAATCTAAAGGTCGTCCTGGTCCCGCCTGGGATTTGAGCCCACGATGGCCTAAACTCTGAGAATGTGATTTCTTTTTTTTACTATAATGTCTTATTAGAATAATTAAATTTAATTTTTGAATAAATAGTAACAAACAAACAAAAAATAGTTCAACACCATATATAGAAAGAGGAAAACGGAAAATTTCAAGGAAAATCTCTTTCTATTTTGTCACTTAATATTTTGATTCTGTAATATGTATATACATATTTATATCAATTGTAACTATTTAATGAAAAGTAACTAAAATAAAACTTTTCTTTGTTGACCTAAGAAGGAATTGACTTAATTTTTTTTTATGTTACTTGTTCTGTATGATGCAAGACGTGCATAATAAGTATTCCATTGCACCTACTGCATTATTTTCGAGAACTAATATAGTTAGACCCGACATAGCTTTGCAAAAATTGGCTCTTGCGCTATAAAACCTAGCACTCTTACTCTTACCTATGAAATTATCTTTTTTTCATTAATTCATTATTATTTATTTACTTATTGCACTAGAAAGTGGGGATGCTCATTTCAGGAGATGCAGGTCACACGCTGAAAAAAACAGCGAACGAGTTTTCTTAAAAATATTTAACTTATCATCCGGGATGTTCCTTTTATCAAGGTCTATTTTCTTATTAATTCTTTCAATATGACAGCCATGACGCACCTTCCTTAACAAATTAAGAGATTAACGAGATAAATTATGTTTCACATTCTGTCAAAGTCAAGGATATCAAGGGAGTACCCAAAATTTTATGTCCATTACCGCGATCAGTAACATATGTTGGAAATATCCCTGAAGAGTTCAGTACACTGAGACGTATTGCAACATCCACTCAACAGCTTTTAAAACAATAGCGTTGACCTTTCAAACAGTTGCAGAAAATCCCAGCTGATATTGCTTGCGGTTGGCACCTTTTTTTTTTTTTACATTATTATTATTGTTTTCTCTCTCTCTACGTCCCTAGACGCCTGTCCATTTCCTCATTCAATGTCGAAAAATGGGTTTTGTTTTCTTTCACTAGAGTTTTCTTTCAGAAAAGTACGTTTTCTTGTGTTGATTGTATCAGCTGGGTGAGAGAGAAGGGAAAAAAACCGGATTTCAGAATTTCCGTCCAGCACTGAGCAATATTCATTTGAAGACCTTGCTGCAGTTCGGATAGTAAATTAACTAGGCGAGACCACGCATTCTAATAGCGGTGGAGGTTATTTCATGTCCGATCGATTTGCTTATTTGTCTTATTAACTAACTGACGGAGGTCAGGGACGACTGCTTACTAGACTGTTCTGGGAAGGCGGGATTATAGAACAATAATGTTCGCTCTTGACGTCTTACAGCGGATTACATGTTCTTCTCACATGCTCGCCCCTAGTAAACACATAAATTTACAGGGTTCGTCTTAAGCGCCGAGTGTAAATTTAGAAACTCATAAATTTAACATGTTTACGCTTTCATATTCTATCTGAAAAATAATTTTACAATTAAATATTATTTAAAGTTTCATATGGATTCCGTAAGGATCTCTGATATTGCTCCCCGGCCACAGAGAATTTAAGATGTTTAACCCTGTAACGCAAACATTTTTGGGGGGGAAAAACCCAACAAAAACAAACAAATTTTTTTATTGAAGAAAACACATTTTAAGTCATTGTTTTGGGTAGCAATTTTTAGAAATGCAAATTCAATCAAAAAATTTTATTTTAATTTTGATCCCTATTGCAGATAAAAGCCGAACAGTGCAATATTGTACGTACATCGATTTTTATCTTTCTTTTCGTATAGCTGTTTCGAATACCGGCAAAAATATTTACTTTTTTTTAACAGAATTAATAATAATAGTAATATTCATTTTTTTAAAAAAAATTTTCAAAATTTTCTTTTGTGTGAAATATTTGGAAGCAAGGTGTAACACATAGCTCAACATTGCAATTATTGCACATACGACGACTCTCTTTTTCTTTTCTTTTCTTTTCTATTCCTCTTAGCCCAACACCTAGCGCATTATCTTGTGGGTGCTTTTTTTGATGTTGAGAAAATGACGTTCCGTTAGTCGTAGAATCCCAAAAATTTTGGTTTAGCCGATTTTTTACATTCGAATCACTATGATAGTTTTGTATACATCTTTCTATTAATTTGCTTCTAATTTATTTTCACCTCCAAATTTTATACAAATATTAGATACAAGTTTTTGTTACTTTAAAAAAAACTTAATCGTAGAATATAAGAAACACACACAATGGCCTTTATCTAAATTTACCAAATCACAACTACGGATCGCAGTCAGTCTCACGAATGCATATGGCTCTCGCTTAAATTCGAGTGTGGAAATTACAGCAGCTTAAATACGATCCCACTCGAAATATCTCGAGTATACACAGTTTGGTCTGTTTGACGCTCTTGAATTAACTCGAGAACATACGTTAAGAGGTAAATAAAAGCAAAAATAAGTGTACTTGATGGTGTAGTTCCAATAATTTATGCCTTTAAATCATTGATCATTTGTTTCACCTTTCCTTATTCGTGACAATCGGCTTACGTTAGTTTGTTTATCTGAAATGACACTTAAAGAAAACAAATGATTTCTTAGAAGATTTAGAAATTAATCTTTTAGCATCTTTTTTCTTGCAGTATGGAAAGATGCATTGTACGTGTTTTCAGCATCAAAATGTTTGAAAAAAACGACAGAATTAGGCTTAAGAAGATAAAGCTTTTAAAGTAATCTATTTCATTCTTCTTTTGTTCTGGAAAACCTAGGAATATGAGTTACAATGTTGTGCTTTACTGGCCAGGAATGCTTTCTCACTCTATCTCACTGGTTGAAGTTTAAATTCTAACAAACCGTACTTTTGGGACGTAAACGATCTTATTTTCTTTGGATTATTCCCATTTTTCAAAATATTACTTGCCCTGAATTAGTTTGGGATTAAATGGAGTTAAAAGTCTTTTAATGATATAAGTGCCTTCCATGTAAGTGTTGAGATATTAGGAATAACCCCTTAATATAAATAAAATGGTTTATTTTATTTTTTTTTTTAAATTCTTTCATTCTATATAGTAAATATTTTATAAATTTGCTGACGTTCAAATTCTTTCAACAGTTTTCCTTTTTACATTTGATATTCTTGCAGTGACGATTTAAACTCATTTTGGGTCCTGGGGGCAGAAGATCTACTGGCCACCTGAGCACTGGAGGATCAATATTTATAATGTCAAAATTTAATGATGATATTTAATTAATTAATTATAATGATAATTTATAATGTCAAAATCATTTACATTTTAAGCAAAAATCATGACTTGTTGAAAAATTCCCTCTTCCAAAGCTGAAGTGCATAGCTTTGGATTACGTGCAAAAGATGTTTTAAAAAGTGCAATTTTATTTCGATGCACATGCACGTTAATTTGTATATGCATAGCTGATGTACGTTAAATCAATTACAACTCAAAACCCTCGCGTTGGCACGTAGTGAAAGCTTGGAGGTTGTGATGCCAACTCAGATGTCGTCTTTGATACTTAACCACAGTTCTGAATTGCGAGGTCCATTGTCAGTCTCACGTTGTTTCGAAGTGCGAACGTTAATAAATACCTCGATACCTCGTCAACCTCGATGAAAAATATTTCAAAAGATACGCAATCACATAAATTTAGAATCCTTCAACGTTTATTTCTCTTCCTGTCTCTTTCTTTCTTCTTCATATGCTTGCATGTAACTGATTATCGGCGTCTGGGATATTTATTGAATTTAGAGAAATATTTCTTAAATCTTACGTTCTTATTAATAACATTTGAATATTTTCGTATGATAACCGCAGTTTTTGAGAATATTGAATTCCCTAAAATTTGTTAGTTCTTTCATTGAAGGTTAAAAATTGCCCTACAACATCCATATTAGAAAGTCTAATTATGAAAACGAATGTCTTTAGTTCCAATCATAAAGTCAGAAATTTTTAAAAAATATCACACTTTATTTTTTTTTCTTTAGGATTTCACAAATGTTTAAAGAATGCCCAAAAGTGTGTTTTTAGACATAGTCAAAATATTGTTGAATTATTATTCATGCGATCAATTTAAATTTGGTTTATGAAAAATTAATTTAAAAAGAATAATTGTATGTTGTTATATCCTCAGTGAGATTATGAAAGTAACCTTTTTTTATAGAACTAATGTATATAGAGGAAAGCTTATAATTGATCTCGAAGGAATACTTGTGGGAGTTTTACATTTAAAATTTAGAGAAACTGATATTTCTGTAGTTAAGATGAAGGAGGAGTATATTTTATTCGAAAAATAAATTTTTTCTAAAAGCTTTCTTCATACATAAGTAATTTAACAAATAAAATAAAGAAATATTTCGATAATAATTAACACTTTTCAAAAGGAAAAGAAAAAATGCTTTAAACAGAATCAAAACCTAGAATTTAAAGGAAGTAAGAAATCAACAAAAATAAAAATAACAGTATAAATTAAATACAAAGGAAAATAATACTTTGGGTTGATCAATAAAACCAAATGAAATTTAATGTGGGGAAGGTAGATTGTTCTCGAATAAGAATGTATTAGTGGAATTCCCCATTAATGCAGCGTTCCATCCTTTATTTTTGTCCAATCCTTGTATTGGAGTTAATTCTCTCAGCTTAAAGGGAAAAAAAGCTTGAAAATTACAAGTAGTGCCGTGCTACCAATAAGAAAAGGTATAATTTGGTAAGGTATAAGGTTTGAAAAGGTATAACCTTTTTTCAAAATATTCTCCTTTTGTAAAAAATGCTTCTAAAATAATATGTTACCTGTATATAGCTCAGACCTCTGTATAGAGGCTCAACTATGATTTTTGAAAAATTCACATTATTTTCAGAGTTGCAACCAATTGAAATATAATTATCGGCGTTTTTTTCTTAAAATTTCTTCCTTCTGTGGTCGTAAAACATGGATAAATCCATTTCTAAGTTATATATTTCAAAAATTCTAGTTGAGCCTCTGTACAGAGGTCTGAGCTATATACAGGCAAAATATTATTATAT